AAAGTGCAATTAAGCAAGCAGGCTACTGTCCTTAAGTGCAATTAACGGTGGCTTCATTTCAGGGGCCAGTATAGTGCTTTTTATGTGCTTATTAATCTATCTGCAGATTAAATGTTGTGATAAAACCACAGCACAACAGCAACAGCAGTTATAGTACTCCTATGCTTCTCGTGTACTAATGCACTGGTTTTTATAATCAAGCAACAAAAACCAGATACAATATTTATTCATTTCTAAGATCCTGTGCTTTTCTTAATTATCACATGTATGTAAGCATTTTTCTTATATGCTCACATGTATATATTTTAGGTTTTGATATTTAGATTTGTTTACTTAGGCTGATTCGATTGCAAGTCAGTGCACTGAATTTTATTTCTAGTGTGCACTCAATGCTCTATGTTCTTAACGACAGTAAATGAACCCAAGTACTCTTCCACCGATACTACTCACTATATATAACATTATTAAATTTTCACTTTTATTTGACTGTTCTTCTAATATGTGAATTTGTGTTTATCTATAACCTCATACTCACAATTAATATACATGCTCGTGTATATTGCACTGTAGTAAATGTTATCGTTTGTTTGTTGCGCAGGATTTTGTAGCTCCTCTTAATGCAGATGTGCTGCTGCAGTGAAACTTTCATTTCGTGGAATAAACCTACAAACTTTATTTTATCCAATCCGCTTTGATCTCATCTGGCACTGAGCTTAACTTGGCTGTGAATTTCCCCAATGAGAGACAATAAAGGATATTGCTATTCTATTCTATTCTATTCTACTCTATTGTCTGTAACTTGGTTCAGTAGTAAAAACGGCATGCAGAAGTTATAATACAATAATGTGATCTCTATAGAAAGTAAATAAAACTGACAGAGGCAATTTCCTATCGTAATTCTTTTTATATATTTTAATAGTTTCGGCAGACTTTATTTATAAAACAATTTACGAATCACAGATTTTGACTTACCAAGAGAAGGCAGACCCAAATGTACACCTCACACAGTACGATTGCTTTTCAAAAGCCGGAGATATCAAATGTGATTTTACGATGCCTCCCAGTAGAGCACTGTAAAAGAGCCCAGGGTCTAAGTATTGTTAGGATTCCAGGCTGCAATGTGGAGAATGCATCTTATGGACTGACGGTGTGTGCCGAGCGGACTGCCATCCAGAGAGCTGTGGTGGAGGGCCACACACAGTTCAGCGCCATCGCCGTGACATGGTAAGACACTCAGTCTCAACAAAGCACGTTGCAACATATTCCCGAGCGCTCATCCTCTCCTCTCCTCTATGCAGTGACATCAAAGACCGCTTTGTTGGACCATGCGGAGCGTGCCGACAGGTCCTCATGGAGGTGAGGAGGTGTCTCTAAGGCATTTTTCCCATCTAGGAAAGTAACCCAGGAATCCAGGAACCCATATTCATCCTTCCCTGTAAAACACATCTACAGTGATATAGCTGTGTGTCTTCCAGCAGGAGAAGCTGCATTTTACAGGCTTGTTAAACTAGAACAGTAAAGTGTTATAGCTTTGCTACAGTGAAGGGCACTTTGTATCAGCACAAAAAAGCATATTTTCTCCTCCTAAAATCTTGTCATAAACATTTAAGATTAGATTAGATTTATTATGTGTCCTTTCAGAAATTAAAATTGTACCTTTGGGGAACTGGAGGCGTCACACTTACAGACATCAAAGACAGTAACAACAAGAAAGTGCTGCAGTAAAATTGATGAAGATCAAATATGTACGAATATGTGCGAGTGACACCCATATCATACCACATCATATCATGTGTCACCTGGATTTGTTCAGCAGAGTTATACTGCAAGGTATAAAAGACCTCTGGACACGCGACATTCATAAACGTGGCACCCTGTAGCTCCAGCCCGATGTTAGTAAGGCGCATTCACCATGATACATCACTGAGCATGTCTCGCCCCTTTCCCACCACTTGTGATTCTCAATGTT